AGCTATGATCTCAGATGCTTTGCATTTTGAGATTCAAATGTAAGGAAGTTAGCAAGTAATATATGGATTTTCAAATTAAAGATCAAGGAGTAGTCTGATTTAGAATAGCAGGACTTCATGGCTGTAATCCTTGGATTAAATGCTGGTTTTCTCTAAACATATAACTAGACATTGTGTTTCTCAGGGAAAAAAATAATGTCCATCAAAATAATCTTGAAGCCTGGGGAGAAGGGATGATAGCTGCATAGTTATCTGGAAAGGGTTTTTAAGTAAATCTCTTGGTGTTCGGATTAAACTGGACGATATCCTTATGTGTTTGAATGATAGCTGTTGGGATTACAGCCACATAATTGTCAATCCCATCTGGCAAGCTCCTCCCTTCCCAGTATGAGGATGAAATAACTACAAGACTTAAGAAGTAATAATGTTTGCATTATCTTCATTTTTTAGGTGTTAAAGAAGTTATTGGGGGAACTATACTGAGGTGTTGGAATATACAAAATTATTCGTACGTAAATGAAATGCAAGACTTTTCAGGAACTAAACAGAAGGTTCTTCAAGGAAAACGCAAAATCAGACAAAATCATGATGTATGGCAAGATTGCTGCCTGTGTAACTTGTATTAGGACACATGCCTGGCCTAGAAAATGGATACTTGAGCCTCAGCACATTCATTGGGTGATGATATAGAGCGTGTACCTGTTGCTTTGCGTTGTTGTTGCTCTTTCTTACTACTGGAGGCTGTGTCCCAGGTTCAGCCTATGTAGCAAAAGATGCTCAAGCCCATTGCCCAGGTCAGTCCTGCATAGTCTTTACAACAGATCCGCTTTCTTAATTTCAACAAGTTGTTGTTCTGGTTGCCACTTGATATGAAGCTTTTCCACAGCATTGTTGGTGGTTGGATCAGGTTGTTCATGAGCTCAATGTTATTGTGAAAGGCTGATTGTATTAATTTTAAAAAATGAACTGAAAATAACATCTTACAAAAGTCATCGTGCATTTCTTTGTCAATGATCCTTTGTTGGTTTCAGCCTCTTTCTTTTTGTAAGGATTTGTTCCTAGGCTGCCAGGCCTGAATGGAGAATAGGAAGTCACTCCAGCTGTTTTCCTCGTGTTGGCACTCTCTGCTGAACAGGAATTGCTGAGCAAAGAACATAATTTCCCTAGAAAGGTTTACTGGGGTAGCACAAAGGCAGTCTGGATCTTTTTTTTAATGAAAAGTTCCTGCCAAATACTATCATCAAGGGTTGGGGAAGGAGGGAGGGATGGAAGGAGGGAAAGAAATACATGAAGTCTGGAGTCTGCCTTGAACAGCAAGAAACCTGCCTGGGAACGCAAAAGAGCAGTGTTTTTCTCTGCTGAACTCTTGCTTTTTTAACATATAAGCACTTCTCCAGAAAAGAGGTCTGGGACGTACTTTTTTCCCTTCCCTCTTCTGTGAATCTTGATTCTGACTATTGCTTCTCCAACAAAGTTGGAGGGATTGTGAAACTTTGCACTTGGTTTTGGACTAGCTAGTGGAACAAAAAATAAGCAGAATTCTTTCTCTTAAGTGGGTGCCAAATTATCAACTGAGACATCACGCCATGTTAGGGTGATAAATGCACGTCTGGTCGTGGTTTGCAGTAAGCTTAAATTCTCTACTTTTTCCCTTTTTCTAAAAAAAGAAAGATAATAAGCCTATGACTCCTTTGCTTTCTTTTTGCTTTGCTAAGGAAAGGTTAAGGAAACAAGCCATAAAGAATAATTGACACATATTTGGGGGAAGAGGAAGGTACAGAGTCATTTCACTTCTTGCAACCCACTTCTTATGGGTTTAATCCAGGATAAATCTGTAATGACTGAAACATACTGCCACCTGATGCTGTCTGCTGCTGGGTGGGAAATACATTGGGTGGTTTATTACAGTCCTCAGTGCACTGGTCACCACTTTATAAACTCCCTTATTGTATTTGACACTTTCTGGTATTCCTACTGGCAGTATTACTAAAGAATTGCCTTGCAGCGTGAATAGTCCTCTCTAGCAAGGCAGTTTCAGGCAAGAAAATATTTGTGGTTGGAAGATTGTATGTTTTAGCTCATTCTTTGAGGATGCTGCAAAATCCCTGTAATGCGGAAGGCAGCTATGACTATATCAAGATTGACAAATTGCATGTGTAGTGCTCCTAACAGTTCAGTTGTGGACAAGTATGGAATAACTTCTTATAGGAAAAGTTCCTTTATGGATCCTATCAGAGTTCAGCTTATAACCCAGAGAGAAAGAATTTAATATTCCTTTGGTGTTTTTTAATATAACTGCATAATTATTAGTTATCTGATCTAAGTTCTGATTTCCAATCCAGTTCACTCCCTGAGCACAGTAACATATTGCACAATTAATTTGCTGTTTATAATATTCCCTTGAAAAGAGTATCTTCCATCCTGTTTATTGGTGTGTTTCCAACTGATCTCTGGAGAACAAAACAGTTGGCTTCTGCTCAAACTTTTGTGTTACAATGTTCAACCTTGGCCAGTTTTGAAGTTCTTACTTGGTTTGTACTGAGGAGAAAGTATGTTTGACATCAGCTAGATCTTTGCCTATGTAAAAAGTTCAAAATACACCTTTAGTAATGTCATCCCGATACAATGGATAGGGTCTGCATTTGCCAAGTAGTGCTTCATTGCTAGTAACAGGCACGTTCAGAATAGCACAAAACTGATCTACAGTCTGGCTTGCTCATTGGTAGGTTTTCTTAACTTTTCACTAATACAGCTGGGATTTTGTGTTCATGTATTAATTATTAAGAAAGCATATATAAGCTAAAGGACAATTCTTGTCTAAGCTTGTGGAGATCTCAGAAGTGGACTGGATGTGAAGCTTCTTATACCTAAAACATCCATGTACTGTGTTCAATCCTCACTGTGGCTGGTACTTTGAAAATACCTAAGCCAAATATCTTGTTAATATACCCATCACAAAACACTCTAAATGATTGATTGGTTGGTTTGTTTGTAATTTTGCTTGAGGCAGACAATAGGACCTCTCCAAGTAGAACATGGAATCACTTGTTCTTGTTAGATCTTGTTACTGTCATGTTGCTGTTCCATTCCTGCTTTTATATAGACAAATTTTTTCTAATCTAATTTTCTAGACCTGGATTTTCTCTAAAATTTTCCACTCTGCTGGTATCTGAATACAGGAGGATTTGCCCTTTCACAGAGTTTTGTTTATGTTTTTATTTTGCTTTTTTGGACTTTGTCAAATTCTTAAGTAAAGATCATCTGGAAGAGAATTGGGGGAACTGTCAAAACACAGGCCATTTCCTGTCATTGTCTAGAGTCTCAAGCATTGTGGACTTCCATCTCCTTCCTGTCTTTTGTTTCTGGGTTGGTAATGTTGTCTTTGAATAAGTTCAAATAAAAATAGATGTAATAGAGCTGGAAATAGTAACTAGTATCCTTAAATAAATGTCTTTGCTGTCTGAGCACAATGCACCAGGAATAATAACAAAACAACGTAATCCCAGAGGGTACTGAAGTGTTTACAGCCTGTGGCTCTAATCCTGTCACCTTTCTCTTGCCAGTGAAGTCACTAGCAGCACTTTTTCAAGGAAGTGATATAGGGACTGCGGCAGCAGCCAAGTAGCAAAAGCACAATTAGCAAGAGGGATTTCTCTTTAGCTGAGGATGCTGGGGCATATTGCTTCCAAAAGTTCACAGAATTTCTAATAGGTAGTGATCTAAATTTGTTCAAGTGGGATGTACTCTGTCAATCTACATCAGAGTGGCATCAGTCAGCATGACTGTTGGATATTGGATTATGTGGATTCATCATATAATCTATTTTTGCATTGTAATAATGCCTAAAGTTCACAGCTAGAATTTACATCATCTCATCCTGGAACATCTGCAAGTGGGTAGAAGTCTGCCTCAAAGAATGTACTGAAATGCAGAACATGAGCAGTGTGAACAATGGGAATGATGTAGGGCAAAGTATGAAGGTAAATACTGGTGAGAGCAAATATTTACAGATCACCAGTGTTAGGTATCAGTTGCAGGCTGTAAATCATTTAAACTTTTGTTAGTAAAGGAAATATTCCTTGTGTCTCACAGGATCTTTATGTCACTGTTGTGAACTGCAGATGCCTTTCTGGCATAAGAATAAAGGTGCATCTCAAAGCTGGGTTTCTCAGTTTGAAATGCTTACCAAGTGTATATTGGTAGCATAAAAGAACAAGCCTAGCAGTGAACTTTACCATTGGGAGCTTCTAGAAAGCATTGATCTGTGAGAAACAGCATCAACAGAGGTGAGAAGCTTCTAAGAGATGAAGAGTCAGAAGAGACATCAAGTTCTGAGAGAGCTTAAAAGTGAATATTAAATAACTGTATGAGAAAGAAAGTCTTAATGCTGCATTTTGACTAATCTGGAGGGTGGGAATATGGGCTTTGGAAAGCTCAGAGTTGCAATAGGTGGAAGACAAGAGTCTTAACAGCATAAAGAGAAAAATGTTGGAGCCAACATGCTGGTAAAAGCATTGTTTGCTTTCCCTTGAAAAATAGGACACTTCCAGAAACATGTTTAGTAGTACCCATTTTCTTAATCTAGAGGTGCTCTGGTCAAGGAAGTCTCATCACTGTACTTACATATGCAGTGTAAAGAGGGAGAAGTAGATGTGCTGTCTAGGTTACTGGTTTAGGCCACTGCAATAGCGGTACTTACTCTAGTGTCAGAGAAAGCAGAAATTTAAGTGAGCTAGGAAGGGGGCTTGGGTGCATGTAACCATGCCATGGGTTAGATGCACTGCATCTACTCAACATGCCTGAGCATCTTCCTTACCTGTGTAAGGATTTTAGTCAATTGTTGTGATTCACAAGAGAGAGAGAAACACAATGGACATTAATAGTAAATGTATTGCTATCTGCCTTTCAAAACTGCCTTCCTGTTGTTTTCAAACAAGTATGACATTTGTTCTTCAGGAATCTGTTTCGGAGATTTTGGAGAAGACGAAATAGAAGCTCACCTGAGCAACACGTTGCCGAAACCGAGACACAGGTGCAGCCTGCAGAAGATGCAGAGAGTGTGCAGGAGGCAAGTCACTGGTGTATAGACGGTTATAGCTGACTATGGGATATTTTAGAGATGGTGTAAAAACAAACAAACAGAAAAACAACTCAAAACCCCCAAAACCCCAGCCTCCCCAAACCTGGATTTTATTGCACTGCACTTGAAAGATACCCTTTCTAATTTAGAGATTTCTGTGTTCAAGGCTGTGGTAGTTAGTAAAGCCCTGAAATTTTAATTGTTCAAGTGGTAGGTATAATGAAAACACATGACATGGTTACAGAGGGACGTGTATATCTCTCTCTCTATATATATATATATAGATTTTTTTTTTTTTCCTAATGTTAATGGTTACATATTTGTTTGCAATTCTCCTGTTCATTGCTCCTCCCTGAAAATCTAAACAGAGCTCAAAAGCAAGCTATGGAGGAGGCGTCTGATTTAATGGTGCCTACTTGGCTCTGTAGCAGGGCTCTAAGAGGGCAATAAAATCCTTGTAGGATTTGGTGAAATCAGACAGAACAAATGTAGCATTAAACGAAAGAAGTAACCCATAGATAAGCCGAATTCTTGCTTCCCTTCAGCTATTTGCCTTTTAACTGAACGAAGAGAAGAAAAAAGATGACAGCTATGTCTTACTGTTGTTACTTGAGCACTGGGGAAAAGTTAGGGTCCCAAGCCAACTGGAAAATGAGGCTCTTTCTCATGTCTTCGCTCTCAGCTGAATTGAAGCCTATGTTCTGTTTTCTGTTACCCTAGTGGGAATCCTTTGTTGGCTTAGACTAACAGCACTGCGATCTGAGAGCAGAGAACTGCAGCGAGTGCCCATCTTACCTGAGCGCTTGAAAGAATTGGTCTTAGATCTGATTGAGAAATCTGTCCGTGGTGTTCAAGAGTCTTCAGCATCCAAAAGAGCTCTCTTATATGACTGGCTTCTTGAAATGGGGCCTAGGAATTTCTGAGTGTTTTGAAATATGCCCTGCAAGAAAGGAGGACACAGTTTTCAAGTTTAATATGGGTCACTTAGAATAAAAAAGCAAATAGGATCAACTATGATAGTAATACAAGGATTTATGATTAATTTATCCCTGTTACTTTAACCATCTCTTAAGAGGTTAAGAGTGTTGAGTCTGTGCACAACGTTCGGAAATGCCACACTTTGTTTTGGGGTTCACGGTTCACAAGATTACTTTGTGCAGATTTTCCTCATGCTGTAAGTCTAAGCCATGGAGTTACTTTTGGACATTTTAGTTGTGACCTCTAACATGTATAATGCCATTGGAAACACACGATTACTAGGATTTGTTGTAGGAACAGCATTTAAACTGAAACTCTACATTTACTCTTTCTGGAAACTATGTATGCATGAAATGAATGCGTCAGACTTAAGACATGCCATCTGATGATAACAAAGTCCTTGGGCTTTGAACTTGAACTAGTTAGATATAAATACAGAGCTGCCTGGCAAAAGTCTGTTCAGAGGAAGGGAAGGCCCTGGATAGAGTGGGAAGTACTCCCAGTATCTTAAATAACAGGCACTCCAATATAATTATTAAACCCAGAGTCCTCTGGGGAGTGCTTGGATTAAAGGATACCAGAGTGAAACAGTCTTCTAGGGAAGGAAATATTTCTTTTTTAAGAGGAAAAATGAAAAAGACTCTAGAGTAAAAATTAAGGAGACGAAAATCCTCATAGTCAACAGAGATTTATACTGTTGAAGCAGACAGCAACAGGGCCATAAAAGGCGTATGTGCAGTATACCTGTAACCAAAGCAAACTGAACCAGAGCAGAAGGGAAAAAGAAAGTTACATTTGTAAATGGGAAGTTCTGAGAGCTCATCAACTAATCAAGTAGTTACACTTCTTGTTCTGGAAACTGAAGCTTGCTAGAAGAGAACATGAACTATGGCAAGTAATTTGGGAATGAGGGGGAGGATTGACTACCAACTAGCCAATAATATAAATAACAAATTTGTAAATGTATTGGAAGCAAGAAGCTTCTTATAGACAATCAGCCTGTTTATGGAGATGAGAGAGCAATTAGGGAAAACGAAAATTTTGCTAAATCAACCCAAAATCTGTTTGTGCAAAAAAGAAGGCAATCTTTGGTGACACTTGTATATGAGAGCCACTTGATTCACAAATCAGGAAAGGGTTTTTTTTCCTTAATTCAGCTGATGCGATCAAAATGACCTATTTATATCACAATGTCCATAGGAATTTTCTGCTGTGGCAGAAAACTCTGTGGTTACAGCAGTGATGATACTAAATGGAAGTGTGTGTGTGTGGGGGGGGGTAAAAGATGGGAAAAGATGGGATGTGTGTGCAAAAGATGGGAAAATCAGTCCTTTCCTTGAAAAAGGAAGAAATTGGTGAACTCCATCTCCCTGTCTTCTGCTTTACATGAACACTTGCTTATTCCTCTTTGAAGCAATAGTAAGATAAAGAAGCCCGGTCCCACTGTTTACAAACGGAACGATCTCAACGGCATAGGCAACTTTCACTTTGTTAATATGGCTTTGATTTGACTGAGTTACAAGCCTTAGAAAACCATGGACTCAGCATGCACTTCAGGGTTTTGTTTCTTCCTTCAAAGCTTGTGAAGGGGGCAGCCAAGAGGATTTGCTGCAAACACCTGAGTAGCTATAGAGCATGAAACTAGAGAAAGATACTGCTTTGAAGCAGCAGGGACACATGTGGCTGGAAAAAGAACAGAGGAGCTGGTAAAGCGCTTAAGGCCTAAGAAAAGTTTCTGGGTGTTTTGTGATATCTGCGACTGAGACTTCAGTTCCTAGGACCCGCTGTCTCTGCTCCTCCAGGTTGTTTCCAAAGAACCAAGAGAGGTTTCTGCAGACTGAGAAGGGGGCAGGTATAAGAGCAGACCCTGAGGTACGCTGGCACTACTTACACTCCTCTTGAGTGAAAAGGCTCAGGGGACAGGGCGTAAAACACGCTGTTGTTTCTCCATATAACATTGCAGGCGGTGCAGTTTACCAGTGATGTGACCATGGTATTGCAAGCAGCATTGCTTTGAAGTCTTAACAAATGGCAGGCCAAGGACTTGCTGTTCCTGAAGGAGATATGCCCCCTAGATCTGAGATTATACAAAAGCATGCCATCTCCTCTTGGATTTCACGGTTTGTGAAACAGTGCATGCCTATCTAACTGCAATCACATCTGAAATGAGAGGTCAAGGGAAGGCTGGATCTGCTTCCTTAACTACATCATTTTTTGAATTAGCATTGCTAATTATGCAGCCTTATGAGTCAGTAATTTGGTTTTTTTGTATGGGAGCTCTGTTGCATTTCCTCTGGCATTTTACAATGAAGCTGGTTAATACTTCCAATTACTCAAAGGCATCTATTTAGTTCTAGTGTCAGCGAAGACAGATTATGATGAACTTGGTTATCTGGTTCTTTACTGAGCTGCTACTGCATTGTCACATCTTTCAACGCTTTTCAGAACGAGCGGGGAACATGTTTTTTCCTTTTTTGCACAGGAATAAGGATTGCAAAGGTTGCAGACAGTGGAAGATCAGACATACAGTGTATAATGTAACATTGCTTGTGCTTTGATTAGTTAGTGGCTTGAAATTCAAATTTAATTTTTGATCCCAACAATTTTCCTTACTGGCCGACATGTACTGACAGGGCACTCATTCATCTAAAGAATATAAATCTCGAAGTTAATTTATTTCCAAAAGAGGAACATGGAGGACCTGCCTCCCCTCTGTTACCCTCTACATCAGCACGCAGCATGTAAACGTATTGCCCCTGTGCTGATGGAACAGACTGCATGAGGTAAGTGCCTGTGAGGTGCTTTGTGCTGTAAAGGACCTTTAGTCCTTTACAGAGATTGCAGCACGCTGAATGTTAAGCAGGTCTAAAGCACTCTCTGACAAACTAACCATGTAACTGAGTGGAAAGCAGGAACTCGGGCGTGCACAATGTAAAGGAGTACTACCAGGTGGTTCTCATACAGTAACTGTGGCAAAGAGCTCTCTGCAGCCAAGCTACAGGCCAGAGTCCACAAGCCAGTAAATCACAATATAAAACCGATGCGTGCTTGCATTTCTATAGTCCGCTTAAATTCTGTAGCTTTTGTGGCTCATCTGTGTGCGATTTTTTTAAATAGTTTCAATCTCAGGAACTGTAGTCTGCAGCACCTGTTAGTTATCAAATTGAGGGCACATGCCACAAAGAGAAAGCAGGAACTAAACGTGGTTATAAAGAAACCAGACAAATAATAATTAATGAGATAGTCTGAAAAGAGACCGTATTTATTTCCTTTTGTAAGCATGCCCTTCTAATGCATCATCCACTGCAGGGGGCGTCTCTTTGGACAGGCTTTATTCTATACGATAGATTCTCCTATTTTCTACAGGACGAACAGACAGCCTGTCTCGTGGAATCCTCTCTTCCAGTTAACAGGTGCACATGTATAGGTAGTGCCCTTGAGGTGGTAGCCACTGCTTCTTAAACAGAAACCCCAAAACAGAAAAAGAGAAAACTATGTAATACTGTAAAAACACTTAATGCAAAGGCAAGGTTACTAGGAAATGTCTTAGCATTTCCAACATGCAAACAGGTCTAGTCGCTGGTACAATCAAGCAAGCACCAGACAGTGGAAACTGCTTGAGCTGGCACTGCCATTGAAAGGAACATCTTGAAACCACGACCTAACTTATGGTTTCTGTAATGCAAGGAGCATTCTCCCTTTTTTTGAAAAAAAATAAGGAGGCAGTTGTGTGTTTTCCTTTCCTGTCTCCCACTGAGCAGCCTTTCCCAGTAAGGCTAATTGGCATGCAGCGCTCTGGTACCCAGCTTCTTTCCTTTTAGGCTGCGCGATGCCCTTCTCTCATAGAGAAGCTGTCTGGGACGATTCTTACATCACCTGGTTACTTTGTCCTTTTCCTTTGCTCTCCCAAATATTTGCCTTATTTGGGTACCTCTGGCTTCTGTTTCCTCTTCTCCTTCCGCTAGGCCCCTAGCAGAGGCAGTAGGACTAGCTGTTCTTTATTTCCAGCTGGTTTATAGTGTCTGCATGCCAGCTGTAGCAACAGTTGAAAACAAGGAAAAATCATCACTCTGTGACTAACTTATTTCTCTGTGGACAGTCAGCAAGTTCTCATTGGGCTTAAGTGGCCCATTGATCTGCAGTCTGAGAACTGTCCAGACCTCAAAGGATCTTCTTATGTAACATTTCACTGTGAGAAGTGTAAAGTTGCATTTCACAAGTGGATTTGCATTTCCTTCTTGATGCAAGGGGGAGGGAATACGTGCTCAGATGTATTTAGAGGAACAATTCTGATTCAGTAGAAAGGGCAAGCACAGACCTTGATTATGGCAGGAATGTAGCTATCGCATGTGAACATGATTGGGAAAGAACCAAATATTTAACACAAAGTTAAGCACGAGTGTGGCTCATTGGTGTAGATCGAGTTTGTGACTAAAGTCTGTTAAAAGAGCAAACCAGAAGTTCCACTAAACCGAGTTGCAGACTGTTCTCATTCTTTTTCATGCTGTTCTCAGTCCTTGAAATCTTCACAGAACATCTTTTAGACTAATCAGAGCCTGCTTTGTCTTCATGTTTTCCTGTGCATTCTGATCCTGTCTCTTGCTCTGCGTAAGGGGTTGAACACTACATAATGGTCTTAGAATGCAACTAAAGGGAAGTTAAACATTACATACGCTTTTCCTTCTTTTCAGTATGAAATAATCAGTATCTGGATAGAAATCAGATTTTTAGGAGCCTAGACTGAGCACAATCTTTCTCTCTCAAAGATCAAATAAACACATATATGTTATGTACACATACACAGACACGCATGTTTAGGTAGAAGTTAATAACAGGAGTTGGGTCCTTCTGTTAAATTTGTAGTCAGTACAGTGTGTTCGATTCATTTTGAAAGGTTCTACCAGTCTGAGAGAAATTTCTTGTATTCCATGTAACAACACTGTTATAGCTATGACATCTGAGGATATAAATATGGACAAGGTCCGTTGAAAGAGGGAGTGTGTTTGAATTGACCTCTTTGGTTAGCTGGAAAACAAGAAAATACTGCGGCATAAGACAGGTACACTATGTTGGAAAACACTATCCCATCCCCTGGCAGCTGCTTTGATGAGCAAACCACCCCAACCTACAACTATCCCCTTCCCAAGTGAGACCGTTAGCAATAGAATCCAAACTTCCAAGGAACTAGAAAACTGCAAATATTAGAATTGGCAGAGGATTTGGATAAACACTTTGGCACTGAAAATCTGTTGCAAATGTGACTGCAGGGCTCTACGCAATGCAATGTCTGATGGAATTCTTCTGGGGACAAGACTCAGTCCCATGGAGGTTTGAGCCTGCAACTCATTTTGATTCCAGGGTCTAGGCTCCAGTTCATCAAAGAATCTTAAGAATTTAGTTGCTTTGATGTGAATGGTTTAGGCTCACGCTGAAGTAAAGCTCCTGCTTACGTGCTTTTCTGAACTGGCATCCTAGGTAGGGGCTAAAGAAAGATGAAATTAATTTGTCAGACTAAGTTGCACTGTGTATTGCCCTGGCCATCTTGCAGTTTTCCTCTTGCAGCTAAACTAGTTAACGGACACAGCTTCTAGAAGCTTACTCATGTAAACTAATTTAAGGGATAAGTAAACAAAATAACTAGATTAAGATTTCAATCAAGGAAATACTGAAGGTTTCTATAAAACACAGACTCTTTAATATTGGGTTGGGGGTTTCTGGTCAGATTATCAAAGTTTGTATCTGCCTCAGCATATTCTGGATCACTTTGGTGTTACACAAATAAACTAAATGCTCCGCCTGGCAAATCATCTGATCAGTTCAACTGTGACAACACAATGCAATCTTGGTTGCGTAGCTTAAAATAATGTTCCTTGCTTTCATATGCTTCCTCATGTTAACAGCTGCAAGTGATAACAGTCTCTCCGAACCAGCAGTGCTCCTGAGACTTGCCGGTAACACTGGTGTGTAAATACGTGAATATACTGGCTGTTAGTGCTGAGGTGCAGGAGAGCTGAGCTTTCTGGTTCAGGTCTTACTGCTTTCATTGACTTGCACAGTAATTTGTGCATTCAACTCCCCTCTGCTTTCCTTTGTAAATCCAAAAATCCAGGTAACTCAAGACAGCTCAATAGGCAACTTAGGTCAGTGTTTTTAAGGTGGTTTGAAATCCTTGTGTTAGCATGCTGATGTCTGCAGCTAGTGCTTGCGTAAGAGGATGGTCATGGTTCAGAGGGGCTTGTGTGTGAGCAAGGGGCTCCCACAGAAAAAAAATAAGGATATTGTGGGTTTAGTCTACGTAAATAGGTAGGGGGGAAAGATGATAATCTATTGATTACAGACTCAATATGAGAATCTTTTCTCCTTGGCTTAGGAAAAGCCATTCTCTTGCAGCAAGACAGGTGAAGAGCGTCAGGGTTTGTTTCCCAGGGCCAGCTGCACAGGTTTTCTGCCGACGGCCACAGGGTTGCGGAGAGCCGCGTGGGGCCGCACTGCCCCCCAGCCAGCACGGTGGGGGCTGCCTGCCCTGGCACGGCCTGCCTGGGGTGGGCAGGAGGAGGAGGAGGAGGAAAGGCCCTTGCTGTGCCCCTGTCTGAGCCACCTGAATTGCTCGGTGGGCGAGCGCAGAGCAGGGCCGCGACAACCTGGAGTACCGCCGCTCGCAGCAGGGTTGGGGTTCCCTACAGCCTCTGATTTCCTTCCTTTCAAGCTTGGGGAAGTAAGCTTGTTCAGCTTAAGCTTGCCCTAAAATCCCCCTTCCGTCCGTTTGCCTTTCTAGGTGCTAGAACAGTTCCAACCGCGCCAGGAGCGGGCAGGGAGCTCCCCAGGCGGCCCGGCCCGGCCCGGCGCGCTGGGCACCTGCCGCGGCCGCCCGCGGGCACCGGGCGCTGCCGGTGCGGCTGCAGCCGGGCGGCGGCGGGAAGGAGGCGTTGCCCGCTGGAAGCCGAGCGGGACGCGCCGCACCTTGTCCCTCTTCCAGGGAGCTGGGGGCGAGTGAACGCCCCGCTCCGGGCAGCGGAGCCCCAGCGAGCGGCAGCCCCGCGCACGGACGACTGAACCCGCCGCAACTTGTCGGCCGGCGGTAAAGAGGAAGCCCCTCGGC